CACTCCCCTGTGGAGGGTTCAGATCAGATTCACTCCGCACAATGTGTCCCCAGTATTGTCCTCTGTCATGGTATGCTCCAGTGAGGGGTTGTCATGTCTCGAGTTGTTATTGGCCCTACAGTCCTCTCTGTGCTTTAGCAGCTCCCTTGCCAGGATGGCATCCTTAGGGTTTGGTGTGCCGATCTGGGGTCTCAAGCCTCAATCTCTCTTTCTCCTACTTGCTTTGCTTCTGTGAGGGTGTGGCAGGCCAGCCCTTCTTGCCCAACCTGCAGGTTTAGTGTTGTTCTCTGTAACACATATTTCTAGGGAGGGGGTCAGTTTGGCTTGGAGCTCTATTTTTAAAATAAAACACTGAATATCAAATGGTAATACATTACCTGATCACACTGACATTTGGAATTTAAAAACGTGAGTAATAACTGAATGTTATATCCAACAAGTTGTATTCAGTTGTTTCTGGCTCAAAGTGACCCTATATAAGGTTTCTGAGGCTATACATATTAGTGGGAGCAGGCAGCCTAATTTTTCTCCTATAGAACAGCTGGTGTGTTTGAATCACCAACCGTGAGGTTAGCAGGTCTAAACCACAGTTCCACCAGAGCTGCTTAACTGATCGTAATAACACAGTAATTGCTTCACATGAGGAGGAAAATAATAAAATCAAGATCAACCTCAAAGGGCTCACTTGGAAACTATCCAGTGAAAAGAAGAGTATTTCACACATCGGTATCAGTCACAGATTTAATAAAATACACAGAATCCACTGCAAGCCCAGGTGCAAAAGTAATTAAAGAAGAGTACACGCAAAATGCTCTGGAGTCGCCAAGGAGGTCTTGGCCAAGGAGATGGAATTTGAGTCGAAGGAGGTATCAATAAATAAAAAGGGAAGAAATTACAACCTGGAACATGCAGAGATAATAATTGAACTTACTTCATGTGATTCTAGAGTGCCTATATTATTAATGCCTCTGTTTGAGAAATAAAAATTCCCCCCATGAGTATCATATTTTTTAGTATGGAGTTGTTCATGCTTTATATGTGCACTGTAATAAAATTCATTTAAGACATTTTAACCTAATAGCTACTATCAGCACATGAAAACAAACATGACAATTTGGCATAGCTTCATCTTCCCAATGGAAAATATTATATTGATTTAAGCAAATTATTGTTTGCGGGCTCATCATTTTGTTCAAACTCATCATATCAGGAAGAGACCAGTAGCCTCTTCCCTGCTATGGCATCCAGGCCCTCACATGGCTCTTAGCATCCCATTGCCATGCCCCGAAGGTGTCGAAATGCCATAGGAGGCTCACGGTTTGTTTCTCATTCTCAGGTTAGGCAAAAAGTTCACAGGTCAATCCAGTAACAGCCAGTCACTCCTTTCCCCTTTCCCATTGGGCTCTTCCTCTCCCTCCCACCAGTCATTCTGTCCCTTCCCTCTCCCCTTTGCCTACACAGTTCATCAAGGGACAGTCGGGGGTGAAGAAGATCCCCGCTTCCTGAATCACTCTGCCCGTTCGTGAAGTCAGCCACCCCCTTTTCTCCCCTGAATGCTTCCTTTGTTCATCTTCATCCAGGGACCCTGCTGCTGCCCTGAGTGTCCTTCCCCCATAATATATTTAAAGAACTTCTTTTCAAAAGCTTCTTCTAAAGTTCTTCTGTTGTCTGATTTTCAATTTATCCTGTCTTAGTTTGTGTACAGCCTTGTTCTCTTAATTTAATCAGCCGATATTTTGAAAGATGCCTTTTGACCTATAATAACGACTTGCATCTGCCAATTAACCCACACAAGGGATTATTTTTTAACACTTAGTCTTTCAGTACCTCAGCACACATTTTTCTGCAGCTTCTCAAAAAGCGTTTGTTTAGTTCGGGTTGCTTTGTTTTTCCTTTTTAATGGTGTCACAGCAGCCTGTGGGTGGTTAACTCTTAAGTTTTAACTGTCAGATTTCCCACATGTTTGACATTTGGTTGCCTTTGTTCGTGTGTTTAGGACGTGTTTATCCCGTGTGGCTGGGGAACAGTGATCAAAGGGAAGGCATAGAAGTCAGGTTAGAGAGGGCCTGGGCTGCTTTATACAGGAATGGTGCTCAGGTTCACCCCGCACAACGGCACAGGCCATGGGTGTGAAGAAACCTGGCATCTAGCCTATGTTCTTCTCACCGAGTCCTGTACCCTGGAGTGAAGCTGTGTTTACGAATTCACACAAAGGTGGCCCCATGGAAAGAAGAGCATGTATGGGCATTTTGATTTTGATATACTTCATCGAGAGTCCATTGAACAAATAAAAAGATCCAATTTATTAAAAGGGTAATTCAAAAAGTTTGAAATCAGGAAAAGTGCGCATCAGGGTTGTATCCTCTCACCATTCTTGCTCAGTATGTGTGCTGAACAAATAATCAGAGAAGCTGGATGATTTGAAAAAGAATGTGGTACCAGGATTAGAGGAAGGCTTATTACCAACTTGAGATATAAAGATGACACAAGCCTGCTTGCTCAAAGTGAGGAGGACTTGAAGCACTTGCTGTTGAAGATCGGTAATTGCACTTCAGTATGAATCACAGTTCAATATAAAGAAGACCAAAATCCTCACGATTGGACCAATAGGTAACATCATGATAAACTGAGAAAAGATTGAAGAAGTTGTCACGGATTTTGTCTTGCTTGGACCTATAAGCGATGCTCATGGAAGCAGCAGTGCAAAGATCAAAAGATGTGTTTCACTGGGTGAATCTGCTGCACAAGACCTCTCCAGAGGATTTAAAAGCAAGGAGGTTACTTCAAGGACTAAGGTGCACCTGACCCAAGTCATGGTCCTTTCCATTGCCTCATATGCATGTGAAAGTTGGACACTTAAAAAGGAAAACTGAAGGAGAATCGATGTATGTGACTTGTGGTTCTGGAGAAGAATTTTGAAAATACCATGGACTGCTAAAAGGATAAACCAGTGGGGGGGTGGGAGGACCAATCTGTATTGGAAGAAGTACAGCCAGAGTACTCCTTAGAGGAAAAGATGGCGAGACTTTGTTCTTCAAGTACTTTAGATATGTTGTCCAGAGAGACCAGTCCCTGGAAAAGGACATCATGCTCGGTTGACACAGCGGCTGCAACAATGGGCTCAAGCACAGGAACAATTGTGAGGCTGGCGCAGGACCGGGCAGTGTTCCGTTCTGTTGTGCATAAGGTTGCTATGGGTCTGAACCAACTCGAGGGCACCTAACAAACAGCAGGCTGGAGGTTGCACATTTGAACAATCCTGTAATGTTTCCAAAAGACTGATCGGTAGCCTGTTCCCCCAAACAGTCCAGAAATATATTTTGAAAGAGCCGAGACAACTTACACTGCGTATCAATATAATTATCTTGCCCGGTCTTACTACACCCAATGTAGTAAATTGGGTAGACTCCAAACTAGGACTAGTGTGCTATCTGCATTCTACTTGATTAAAAAGCTTCCTGGAAACTAGCGGTTCTCAACCTGTGGGTCTCACCCCCTGTGGGGGTCAAACGACCCTTTCACAGGGGCCGCCTGATTCATCACAGTAGCAAAATTACAGTGATGAAGTAGCAACGAAACTAATTGTATGGTTGGGGGTCACCACCACATGAAGAACTGTATTAAAGGGTTGCGGCATTAGGAAGGTTGAGAACCACTTCTATAAACTGTCTTACCGGCCTTCCTGTTTCCTGAGAGCCCAGTTCCTGACCTCTCCCCTCCTCCTCTTAGTCACCTGGATCACACAGTCAGAGTCAACCCCCTTTGACAGTGTTGCTCTGAATTTACCTTGCATTTTTTCACTCTTAGAATGTATGATCATGGCCCAGCACAGTGACGGTCTAGAGCCAGCCCATCCCTAGAGCCTCGTCTCTAATCTCACTAGATGAACTCCCAGGCCAGTACTGGTAGATTTGCTCTCTCTATTGCTCCAGGAGGCAGAGCCAAACCCCATGGCGAAAAGTCACACAGAGAGAAAGATGTTGGCTGAAGTCGTGGGAAAATGGCTAAGGCGTAGCGCTGCCTGAAAGCAGAAAGGCCTGCTCGGGACCGGGGGTCAGGGGCGGGGGTGGGGGGTGGATTATGGTTTCTGGAAGCATTGAGACACAGAGCAGACGCTCATTTGATGCTGATTCGGTGATAGAGACCAAAAATCAGCACATCGAACTCATCTCCAGCGACTATTGAATTCCTGCTCCCGCTGCAGCTTTACACACGTGCTTCATCTCATTTCACCCTCATCATGACTCCCGAGGGAGGTGGCTACCATCTCTCTTTGCTGCTCACAAACCGAGGATCACTCCATTCGAGGATCACTCCATTCGCAAGTGGCAGGGCCAGGATTTCGAGCCAGAAGTTAAAGTTGGCCGCATCTGAATCCAAGACCTCACTTATTCTTTTCACAGTTCACAGAAGATTAAGAGATTAGCTGGTGGATTTCTAAGACTTATCCTCTGCAACTGTGTTTCTAGCTGTGTCTAAATATGAATATATCACAGACTGTTGTCCTTTAGGCATTTTTCCAGTCTTGTCACTTTAAAACAACAGTTTGTGAATCCAACAGTTGTTGACCTCTCACAACAACAATAACGGAATGCCATTTGAAACATCCACATTTGTCGTTGGAATCCCCTCTGGATTTTAAGCAGACTGTAGTCTAAGGGGCTCAGGATCTCCCCTCCTCCACCCCTCTTCTAGAGTTGCAGACAAGGATAAAATTTAATATATATATATATATGTATATACATATTCACACACAAGAGACTAATCTTGTAACATTTCTGAAAACTGTCATGATGAAACATCTTCTAGTCTCTATACTTATTTTAGACTTTAACAAAGTCTTACAATATTTGTTCTAAGGTTCATTTTTTCTGACCCAACGCCTAAGTCAAAAGGGTTTTGTTGTTGTTGTTTTCAATATTTAACTTTAAGAATCTCTAAATCAAATTATCATACTTAAGGAAAATGGCTTTATATGTGTGTTAAATGCTATTTTCTAGATTGAAGCTGAGCTCACCAAGGAAAAAGCCCGCCATTTAGTTGAATTTGAGGAGCAAGCCCTTCTCTTTAAAGAAGAAGCTAAGCTGATACTCGATATTGAAAAGGAAAAATATGAAGAAATGATCCAAAAATACCAGAAAGAACAAGAGGAACTACAAACAAAGGTCTGCATTATGATGGTCATCATTGTTTAGTAGGTCTGTAATTAAAGAAGATGGTTATTTCCATCTAAAGGTTTATAAAGCTAATAGCTTTCCTTGTACGCACTGCATCTCTTTTAACCACATAGGTAAGATAGTTGACCTTTCCTCCAAAATTGATACTTCAGATAGATGACATGAACATACAACCCTGCTATCTCTGGATTTGTTTCTATGAAAATATATGTATTTTAACCAGAATAGGGACTATACAATTAATTGCTAATTTGCCTAGATAGTACAACACCTTCAATATACAGCATCAAAAAATAACAAAATGTAATGAGTACATGAAAGAAGAAAATGTTCTAAAAGTTGACTGTGGTAATGATTACACAGCTTTCTTTTTTTTTTTCTTTCTGGTTTTCAAAGTTTTATTTGAGCAGTTTGTAGCCATCATCATGTTTGATCCTGAGAGGCAAGCAAGGGAGAGAAATCCCTTGGACCCATTTAAGTCTGTAACAGTGAGACCACAGCGGGCTACCAGCAGGCTCCAGGTCACAGCCAGGAGAGAAGGGAGTCCCATGAGGCCAGGTCCCAGGCAACAGCTCCCCACCCCTGAGTCTACCCCCACCCCCCACAGCCATGCACAGAAGGTCGTCCTGCCCAGGTAGGGGGAACACAGGCAGACCCTGCCCCAGAAGCACCTTCCAACCCCACCAGACCTGAACCCTCATATTTGTGCCCTTCCTAGACCCCGGAGAGTCCATCAGATGGGGGCTCCCCTGTGCACACCCGCCCTCACCCTCCTCTCATGCATACCCAGCAGGCACTGCCAAGGCAATGTTCTCCAAGGGCCATTAGCGCCCTGCACCCACGGGCCCCACAGGGAGTCCAAGTGGCAGCAGAAACATCTGCAGCCTTGCCTACCCAGGCCCAGTATTGGGAGCCTGGGGAGCCCACACCATAGGCCTGCGCCAGGCGGAGTGGTTGTGGCTATTGTGGCGACCTCACCAGTTGGCCTTCACTGAGATTCTGGGCCAGGTGGATGCCAAAGATCTGGAGGAAGACAATGCCCACGACTACCCCGGCCACGATGATCCAGGTTGTCCTGCAGCCACTTCTCAAACTGGCCCATGTCACCTTTGCTGTGGCCGGAGCCAGATGTCGTAGCCACACTGGGTATTGAGAACATCCTCCCGCAGGGTCTCTGACACAGCAGGAGAAGGGCACCGCAACGGCGCTCCTGGCTTGGGTTCAAGTCCCTGCAGTTGTAGTAGATGTTGAGGTTCCAGTCGTGGGGCCCTCGTGCTCCGCGGCAAGACCAGTGTTCCTGAGCAAGGCCAAGGAGGTTCTGGAGGTCGATGTCATCCCAATAGGCCATGACATTGCTCTTGATGAAGAAGTTGAGCTGGTCTCGAATCCAGCCCTTGAAGACAAGGCCAAGATCCCCGTGGCCAGCTCTTGGAAGAATATGAGCCAAAGGAACACGGAGAAAAACTCGAGCAGGGCCCCGATGCAGCCGGCAAAGCCCAGCACCAACAGGACGCCTCCAACCTCCACGAACAGCCACAAGGGGCCCCAAGCCCCCGAGATCCGTCAGCTCCATGATGTTGGAGAGCATGCCCTTCTCCCTCCAGGCCAGGGGCCGATGGCCAGGAGCGGGGCTCCCAGAACCCAGAAGACTATGTTGAGGCCAAACAGGAAGTATTTCCTGCACGAGCCGACCTCGGGTTCCTGGAAGTGCTGGTGCTTGCTGGGCATGGTGAGCGGCTGCCCTCCGGTCTGAGAACCGGAGCCAAGTGCCGAGCCTAGCCGGGAGGTTTGCACAACTTTTTCCACAGTGTATGATATATGAATTATGTTTCCAAAAAATTGTTTAAAAATGTTTAATAATGTGATGGACAATACAAACAAGCATAAGGTTTCTCAATAACTAATGTTATCCACTTTTATAGTAATGATTTTCAATTCTGAACATTTTTCCTTGAAGGGAAATGTATTTTTTTAAACCTACCTAAATTTTTAACAATATGCTTTGAATATAATTTAAGATTTTCTTAAGGCTTCTTCTTTGCCCTGTTTTTATACCTCTTTACATGTGGCTGAGGACAAAAATAAACACACACAAGTATGTACACTAAGGTACACCCCCAAGAAGGATTTTTTTCAAAGCTATGTGTTTAATTTTTTTAACAAAAAAACCCCCCTGAAACATTCCTGAAACATTTTTGTCTGTTTGGATAACTGACAGCACCTCCCTCAGTTTTTTCTTCACCTCTTCTCCGTCATCAAATCACTGCCCTTTCATGTTCCTCTTCATTTGTGGACACAAAAAGAAGTTGCATGGAGCAAGGTCAGGTGAGTAAGGTGTGTGGGGCAAGAGGGGCATCCTTGGTTTTGCAAAATACTGGTGCACTGAGATGGCAGTATGAGCAGGTGCATTGTTGTGGTGGCAAAACCAGCCCCCTATCTGCCATAAATTGGCCATTTTTTGCTGCACACTGTTATGCAATCTTCCCAGAACCTGTAAATAGAAAACTTGATTAACAGCCTGACCTGGTGGAATGAACAACAAATGCACTCCAAGTCGGCTTTTTTTTTTTTAAAGATCATTTTTTGGGGGCTTTTCCAGCGTTTATAACAATCTACACATCAATTGTATCAAGCATATTTGTCCTAGTATTTTATAAACATTTACTTTCTATTTGAGCCTTTGGTATTAGCTCCTCTTTTTCCCCCTCCCTCTCACCTTCCCATCCTTGTGACCAGAGAGAGGATTTTCATCAATCGACATTTCACCTTTTTTGAAATGAGAAAACCACTCCTACACTTGAGTTTTTCCCACAGTGCTCTCCTTGAAG